TCTGTTTGCTATAAACATGTTCCAGAAGCCAGAAGACAGAAGCTGGATGATAGAAGCAAAGTGATGATTCTGATAGGGTACCACAGTACAGGTGCATACAAGCTCTATTGTCCAGAAACCAATAAAATTGAATTCAGCAGAAATGTGATTGTGAAGGAATCAGAAGTTTGGAATTGGGATAAGTCTCAATCTGATTCTGATGTTAGAACCTCTGAAGAAAGGCCAGAGTTAAGAATTTCTGAAGTTGAAGTAAACCCTGATATTGACTCTGACTCTGATACTGATTCAAACTCTGAAGATGACTCAGAAGATGAAGGTGACTCTGATGACCCAGACTCTGATAATTCAGACTCTGATGGCAATCCAGATCTTGGTGGCAATTCAGACTCTGGAAATATGCCAGACTCTGAAGATGGTCAAAGCTCTGGAGGTCAATCATCTGAAGCTAGAAACTCTGAAGCTCAAGACTCTGAACAAGTTCAGAGACCACAAAGAATCAGAAGCGTTCCCAGAAGATTTGCAGAATTTGACATGCTGCAAGACACTGAAGTAGACTCTGAAGGAGAAGTTATTCAGTGTGCCATGTTAGTAGACTCTGAACCTATAAGTACAGAGGAGGCTCTTAAGCAGAAGCTCTGGCTGAAGGCCATGAAAGAAGAACTTGATGCTATAGAGAGAAACAATACTTGGAAGCTGACAGAACTTCCAAAAGACAAGAAAGCCATCAGCGTCAAATGGGTTTTCAAGCAGAAGTTAAAGCCAGATGACTCAATTGGCAAACATAAAGCAAGGTTGGTAGCCAGAGGATTTCTACAGAAACCTGGGCTGGATTATTCTGAAGTGTTTGCACCTGTAGCAAGACATGAAACAATCAGAATGGTGATTGCAATAGCTGCTAACAGGAATTGGCCTCTGATGCATTTAGATGTAAAATCTGCATTTCTGAATGGTCCATTAGAAGAAGAAGTTTACGTGTCACAACCTCCTGGATTTGTGAAAAAGAATCAGGAAGGGATGGTGTACAGATTATACAAAGCTCTATATGGACTGAAACAAGCGCCCAGAGCTTGGAATCAGAAGATTGATTCATTTTTCAAGAAGCAAGGCTTTCAAAAATGTGAGATGGAGTACGGTGTCTATGTTCAGCATACTTCGGAAGGCAATATGACTCTGGTATGTTTATATGTTGATGATATACTATTGACTGGAAGTTCTGAACAGGAGATAGCCAAGTTCAAGAAGGTTCTAATGAATGAATTTGAAATGACTGATCTAGGCAAAATGACATACTTTCTAGGGATGGAGTTCAGATATTCTGAGAAATGTATCATTTTGCATCAGCTCAAGTATGAATTAGAACTTTTGAAGAGATTTGATCTGAAGAATTGTAAGATGGCTGTCACACCTTTTGATACAAATCAGAAACTGGATTCAGACTCTGAAGGAAAGGATGTGGATGCTACAACCTTCAAACAGTTGGTTGGTTCTCTGAGGTATCTGTGCAATACCAGACATGATATTTGCTACTCAGTTGGGATGGTTAGTAGGTTCATGAGTAAACCTAAGTGGTCCCATTACCAAGCTGCTGTCAGGATTCTGAGGTATATCAAAGGAACTCTGAAGTATGGAGTGTTATTTCCTTCTGGAGGAAATAATGAGTCAGAACTTCTGAGTTATTCAGACTCTGATTGGTGTGGAGACAGAGTTGACAGAAGAAGTACATCTGGGTACTTGTTCAAATTTCTGGGAGGTCCCATTTCTTGGTGTTCCAAGAAGCAACCTGTTGTGGCGTTGTCAACCTGTGAAGCTGAATACATTGCAGGTGCTGTTACTGCATGCCAAGCTGTGTGGATTCTGAATCTGTTGCAGGATCTGAAGATTAAGGTAGATAAACCTCTGAAGTTGATGATTGACAACAAGTCTGCAATCAACCTTGCTAGAAACCCAGTGCTGCATGGGAGAAGCAAGCATATTGAGACCAAGTATCATTTTCTGAGACATCAAGTTCAGAGTGGAGTGTTAGAAGTTGTACACTGCAGCACTCAGAAGCAGTTGGCAGATGTTCTGACGAAAGCTATCAAGACTGATCAATTTCTCAGATTAAGGGATGGAATTGGTGTTACAAGTTTTGATGGAATATGAATTAAGGGATGGTATTAGTAATAATTCATATTTTATTATATTATTTTCTTAAGCCCATAAGTTTGTTAGAGGGTATTTCAGTATTTTATCTTATTCTAGTAACCCTAGTTTTAGCCTATAAATAGGGTGACAATCATTGTAACTCTTAATCCTGTTTCTTCTGCCGTCATTCTTAAATAGAATATTTCTACCTTTCATCATTTATTCTACCTTTGCACCAACATTTACTTGGTTCTTCACTTGATTATCTTCATAATTGAAAATCCTTTGACATCCCACTTTTATTCTTTATCTTCTTTGATAAACTTCTGCCTTCATCAAAATCCAAACTAAGATAGATGATAAACATCTTCTTCACAAATATTAGGTATAAATCTTTAATTGTATATCCCAACCAATTGTTAGCTCACAAATCAATTTTTTATCATTATCAACATATCATCTACTATGTTCCTCCAAAAAGAAAAAAGAATGCTTAATGTCAGACCATGTAGAAGAAGAATTATTATGCATGATTGGTTTTTTTGTGCCTAATGGATCTTTTATAGGTATCGAAGGCCAATTATTATATATAGTCAATAACTTCCAACAAAAAGAAAAACAACCAGCTTTGTTTATTGTCTTAATATCTCTAAAACCAAGACCTTCTTCAGACAAAGGTGAGCAAATAGTCTTCCAATGTGTAGTAATTAGCTTTATATTGTCTATGCTACTTGTGCATATAAATTTTTTGATGAAATAATCAGTTTATTAAGAAGATTGATTTTTCATTTATAAATCCTAAGACTATACAGAAGCGTGACTTTTATGAATGACTATACCAATTGAACCCTACCCATCATAAAAAGAAGGTGGCCTTTCCAAATAGCTACATTGACCAATACTCTATATTTTATGTGTTACAATGAGACTTCAAACACAAGAGATGGTGAATTGTGTAGGATTGAAAATCGATTTTAAGAAATAAAATCTTTTACATTTTAAAAAAACAAACAGACTAAAGGTTGTGAAAATAAGAAAACAAAATAGAAATAAAAATAAACGTTTGAAATTAAAGAGTTGTGGGATAAAAGAAAACACTAAAGTTATGGAGGTTCACTCATAATGAAGTGACCTACTTCTTTTTTCCAAGATTCCTCCTTGAGAATTACAACGGGCCTCCTTTTACAAGGATTGGAGTTTTCAATGGCTATCAACCCAACCAAGAGCTGGAGTTTTAAGTACAAAAAATTCCACAACCAACTAAGAGCTTATAACACAAGCTAAATTCATGAACCAAAAGAGTTTTTTTAATAAATGGCTAAGTTCACAAACCAACTGAGAGTTTTAATAACAAAGACCTCCCAACCAAACAGAGGTTTTACATGGTTTACCTCAACAACCAAAATAGAGTTTTTCACATGGTTAAACTCACGACCAAACTATATTTTCATCTCAAAGTGATATTAAAAAAATGTCCTTACACCAGACCAGAATACCTCACAAATATGGAGATTTCACTCTCAAATGCACCTAGGCAAAGTGTGAGAAAATAAAAGAGAGAGAAGGGTGATAGAAAATTCTCTCAAATATTTTTTCTAGTGTGTTTAAAATGAGAAAGGGCCCCTCTATTTATAGAAAAAGAGGTCGCTCAAATATGGAAACAATTTATGGGCTGATTAAATCTCATAATCGATTATGTTAAGTGCATAATAGGTTATGGACCCCTAAAATGAAAGGCTTTAATTCCAAGTTATTGCCAATTATATAAGAAACTTTTTTTGATAGATTTGAAAAAACGTGAAACAAAGTTATTTTTTACTAGGAAAGCTTAATAGTAAATCAATGGATGTTTTTGGTTATTAGTTGGGCATGTAAGTATGTTTATGCCCATGCCGTGGGTTTTGCAGTTCCTCTAGTTGGTTGGGAATAAAACTCAGTCACTTGGCTTGGCATTTAGGAGTGTAATGGTTGGTCAGTTGCCCTCCTTTTGTTTTGTGCATGAGTTCATGTCTACCTATTTCTAGCTTACTCTCTCAGAAGACTTGATGAGCATGAGGTTTCAAGATAGATTGATTGCTTGAGCTGGTTGACTTTTTTTTTTTTTTTTTTTTTTTTTTTTTTTTTTTTTGGCTTTTAGCAAATGTTTGAATTGATTTTTGTGGACGGGTGGTTGGTGTTGTTTTTTTTGTTGTATCCTATACTTGTTCATTTTTTTCTCTTGCATTTTTATGTATTGCTTTATTTTATTATTAAAAAATTAACATTTTTTAAATTAATATGATATGCATGAACTCAATAATTAAATGTTACTTTCTATTTATAGTAATAAAAAAATACAACAACAAGAATAAAAATAATTTGTTAAAATTAAAAAAAAATACTTATCATCTTTCTATATTTCTTCCATTCAGTTAACCCGAATCTAAAATTTTATTTAAGAGGTTTGAGTTCAACTACTTACATAAATGTAATATTTTTTTATGCGATTTTATAACTTTAAAAGAAATTAATCAATATATATATAGAGAGAGAAAAATAAATGCTTAACAAGAAGGAGAAAATAAAGGCCTTACACTTTTTGTTATGTTCCTTTCAAAAATCTCATACAATTATTTTATTATTTTTTGTTTTCCAACCCCCACAACACACCTAGCATTGTAAAAAGAAGCAATTTTAACGATAAAACCAACACAAACTCCCTCTAATTTCTAGCCTCTTTCTTCTCTCTCTTTTTCTCGCCCTCTGATTCATAACTTCATTACAACCCTTTATTCAAATTTCAGTTTGTGGTTCTAAAACAAAACTACAAATATCAATATATCTATTACAATCTACCTCTATAACATTCTACATTTTGCATACATACTCCTATATCTATGCAAATGAAGAGGAAATGGATTCAAATTATGATGACCCTTTTGTTGATTCAATTCATTGTTGCTGATAATTCCTATGACGATGAGAATGTCGATGATAAGGCATTGAGTCTAGAGCTTGTGCATAGGCATGATCCTAGATTTGGTGGTGATCATGTAGATCAAGTTAAGGCAATGAGAGGGTTCATTCAAAGGGATTTGTTTCGAAGGCAACAAATGAATCTAAGAAAGGGAATCTATCAAGGTCATCATAGGAGAAAAGACATGGAAGTGGAAAAAGAATTTCAAATGTCAATTCATTCCGGTAGAGATTTTGCTGTTGGTGAATATTTTGTTGAAGTTGAAGTTGGAACGCCAGGACAAAGCTTTTGGCTTGTTGCTGATACAGGAAGTGATTTAACATGGTTTAATAGCATACCTCATACACTAGCTAAAAAGCACCCTCCTCAACAAAAAAAACATCACCTCCACCACCACCACCATCATCATCATGGGAAACACAAACATAAACATAAACATAAAGAAGGTTCAAAGACAAAGTCAAAGAAAAAATCAAAATCAAAAACAAAATCAACAAGACCGACAGAAAGAGATGATCCTTATGATCCTTGCAGTGGTATTTTTTGTCCACATCGTTCTCATTCATTTCAAAAACTTCTTTGTTCATCAAATACCTGCCAACAAGATCTAAGTAATGTTTTCTCTCTTACCTATTGTCCTAGCCAATCTGATCCATGCCTTTTTAATGTCAGGTATGTAAATTTTATTCCTTTTTTTAGTTTTTGCTGCTTCATTAATGGGTTGTTGTAAAAATTTAATTTTTTTTATGGGGTGTTGGAAAATTTTGATTTTTCTTCATGGGTGATGGAAAAAAATTAATGTAGTGAAAAGAGAAAATGAGAAGTTGAAAGTTGTCTTTTCGGACATAGTAAAAATTTAGCTTCTCTTATTTGGGAAAGGGAGATGACAAATTAAGATAGTTGGGGAAAGAGCATGATATTTATTATGAGCTAGAAGAAAAATATTTAGTGAAACCAAAAATATGTGGACCTTGTCTCTTTTAATACATGTTTGAACTTAATTGCATTTTGATATTTTTCTCTTTTTTTAGTATGCCTTAAATTTAAGCATTTCATGACTTTCCTCCAACCACAAGACTTTCTCTAACGGTGTCCAATATTTTCAATTGTTTGGTGTATTAAAAGGTTCAAATGATGTTATTAGTTTCACAATATTATTAAATGGTATCTTCTTAATTATTCAAACATTCATGATTCAAGATTCAAGATTCATCTCCTGATTCATGGTTTAACCGGTTGAACCGCGAGATAGAGTTTCTGAACCATAAAATTTTCTAGCCCTGATATGCATTTAAAGTTCTAATCAGATTAATGTTACATTAATAATAGCCATGTTTATAGCCATTAGAAATCAAAGATACAAAATGTTTTTTATTCTGAAAAACAAAAATCTAAAAGCCTTAATTAGAAAATACTTTTCATACATAGACATAAACACAAACATATGACCCAACAACCATTCTTTCCAGCATCCAACCATTGGTTATAAATGAAAATTAATGTTGGTAGGTAACATCACATGTCCTACATTTCTTCATCTATGGCATACAGGAACATAAGTCTCTTTTAAATTTGTTTCTGCAAATGGCCCAACATTTTACTCTTTTCACCTACACAACCACATCTAGAAATTTATTTTTACTTTCATATTAATTATTGTCAGTTGCAACTAACTAATGGTAAAAGTTTGAGACCTGAGAGTGTGCATCTCTAAACGTATGAGGTTTGAATTTTGTTAAGTGTTAACAATCATTATGTTGGATGAAACTCCCTAATAGTGAAAATGTGTTTAATTTTTATTTGTTTTGTTAACAAATGATATATATTGAGCTTTCTAAAAAATTCTTATCTTTGACAGCTATGCTGATGGATCATCTGTTTTAGGATACTTTGGAGTTGAAACTATATCAGTAAACCTAACAAATGGAAGGAAAGAAAAACTTGAAAATGTAACAGTTGGATGCACACTATCAGTGCTTAATGGTATCACATTCAATGATAACACGGGTGGAATATTAGGTTTAGGCTTTTCAAAAGGTTCATTTGTTGATATAGCAAGTCTAAAATATAATACAAAATTCTCCTATTGTCTTGTTGACCATTTGAGCCACAGAAATGTTTCAAGCTACCTAACATTTGGAAATCCAAAAGTCAAACTCTTGGCTGAGAAGCAAACAACAGAACTTTTTCTGTATCAACCATTCTATGGTGTGAATGTCACTGGCATATCGGTCGGTCGCGAAATGCTGAAAATCCCACCTAGAGTTTGGGATTTCCAAGCTAGAGGTGGTATGATAATTGACTCAGGTACAACCTTAGCAGCACTTGTTGTTGAAGCCTATGAGCCTGTTGTTGAAGCATTGAAGAGTTCTTTGAAGCATGTGAAAAGGGTTGATAAAAGTTTAGGTGATTTGGATTTTTGCTTCGAAAGTGAAGGTTTCGATCCGAGTTGTGTTCCAAGTTTAGTTTTTCATCTTGGTGGAGGAGTGAAGTTTGCACCACCAGTGAAAAGTTATGTCATTGATTTTGGACCAAATGTGAAGTGTCTCGGATTTATGTCAGTAAATGGAACTGGTGTTTCTGTTATTGGAAATATTATGCAGCAAAGCCATCTTTGGCAAATTGATGTGTACCAAAACACTATCTCATTTGCTCCTAGTAGATGCAGCTAGAGAATTACTCTTGTGTAGTTGTGTTCAAGTTTTATGTTTCTCTATGGAGAGAAAGACAAATATGAGCTACATTTTGTGTGTTTTTTTGGATTGGATTATTGTTGCGTAGATTTTTGTGTCTTTCAAATGTTATGTAATATATTACCTTTAAACATGTATCATACAACTAGTTTGAGTTTTTGTGATGTTAATGATTCAATGTTATGAATATTTTCATCCATACTGTTTTCCTTTATCTCTTGTTTGAAATTAATAATAACAACGTTTAAGATAAGCCAATTTTTTTTAAATATGATTATAGTGGATCTTTGGATTTGACTCTTTAGTATAGTTAATCTCTCATTAAGTTTGTTTGTTATGATTATTAGGAATGTTGGTTAGTTTGTTTGGTTATTAGATGTTTGTATATGAGTAACCTTTTGTATCGTTTTGTAAATTTAGTTTTAACTATAATAAGTTCAAAATATCAAATTTCAAGGTTCATTCTTCGAATATTCGATGAAAGTAATATAGTATCACTTTTGATAAATTCTAAAAACATTTTTTTTTGTTCTTCCACTTTTCATTCTTTCGAAATTATATTTTATGATTCTTGTTATTATGAGAGTTAATTGCATCCATGATTCTTGTTGTAAATATGGTAACATGGTAACTGTCATATCAGTATTATAGGAATAGAATCATCTAATTAGAGAGATGTATATGTATATATAATGCTCTAATGTTTCTGAATAAAATACAACCAAATTATTTCCATCTTCTCCTGTTATTTTACATGGCATCAGAGCAGTAACGATCTGCTCCATTCCCTTCCCATATTTTTGTCTATCAAATCATTTTTTTTTGTTTCTAAACCATTATGGCCAATGATGGAAACAAATCTGATTCCAATAGCTCTTACTCTCTTCAGCATTCCGATCATCCGGGAATGGTTCTTGTTTCTAAACCTCTCAATGGTGACAATTATTCGACTTGGCGTCGAGCCACTACCATCTCATTGAATGCAAAATCTAAATTTGGTTTTGTTGATGGAACCCTCAAAGCACCATCTGCCAAAACAAAACCGGAAGACTATGCGACATGGAAAAAATGCAATGATATGGTTTTGTCATGGATTCTTAATTCATTCACCCCTGATATTGCAGATAGTGTTATTTTTTACAACACTGCTCATGAAGTTTGGGAAGATCTTCAAAGTCGTTTCTTTCAAAGCAACGCACCACGCATTTTCCAGATCGAGAGAGAGATTGCTTGCATTACTCAAGATCAAATGACAGTTGCTGCATACTACAGAAAATTAAAAAAATTGTGGGATGAGCTAGGATCCTACAATGATGTTTCACAAGCTTATTCTTCCATCATTCAAGAAGAAAAGCAATGAAATTTGGGTGCAAGAAGAGAGACTATAGAAGCTTCTGCCATGGCTGTCCAAAGAGAGGAACCAATAGCCCTTGCTGTTCGACACAATTCTGGTCAGTACTCTCGTCCCAATTCCAATAATCGTAAACTGCTGCATTGCTCTCATTGTGACAGAGATCATCACACGAAGGAGACATGTTGGAAGTTACATGGTTATCCACCAGGACAATCCAAGCATACCACGACAAAGAACCATCATTTCAAGTCCAACGACAACAATCAATCTTCAGCCAATAGTGTCAAAGAAACCACATCAGCACATGTTCAGCCCCTTGCGAATGGATTTACTGAACTACAATTACAACAAATTTTGGCTATTATGCATGGCAATGGAACATCTCAATCAGCTGCTCCCAAGGCAAATAATGTCAATTTTTCTTCAGGTTTGTCCGCACCAAAATTGATAATTGATAGCGGTGCAACAAATCACATAATTTCTTCTCCATCTTTACTTGTCAACAATAAAGAAAACACTTCTTTACCACCAGTTGTTATGCCAAATGGAGATCAAGCTCCAATTACTTCTACTGGAAATTTTCCCTTAAGTTCTATTATTTATTTGAAGAATGTACTTGGAGTTCCATCTTGTAAGGTGGATTTGATGTCTGTGAGTCGAGTCACAAGCGATTTAAATGTGTCTCCGCTGCTGTTCATATAATTAATAGGTTTCCCACACCTATCCTTTCTCACCAAACTCCTTTTGAAAAACTTTATAAAAAAATTCCCTCTTATTCCCACCTTAGAGTTTTCGGATGTCTAGCTTATGCTACAAATGTTCATGTGCCCCATAAGTTTTCTCCTCGTGCCACCAAATGTGTTTTTATTGGCTATCCAATTGGTCAAAAAGCTTACAAATTATATGACATTGAATCTAATAGAGTTTTCACTAGTCGTGATGTTATTTTCCACGAGGATACTTTTCCCTACGAATCCATTTCCTCTTCACCACCTAAAACAGATTCTGTTGTACCTATTGTTGTCTTAGATTCCTCACTCATCCACCAAACACATGAAGAATCTAACCCTGTGGCTCCTGCTTTTCCAACAGTCCTCACTCCTGCTTCTCCAGCAGCCCCCAATCCCGTTTTTCCAGCAACTCCCACTCCTGCTTCTCCAACAGCCCCTCCGCGTCGTTCTCAAAGAACCCATGTTCCTCCTATAGCCTTGAGTGACTATGTTTGTAATCAAGTAAGTTCTCCCGAATCATTTCTATTCTCACCATCTTTTCCAAGTAAAGGTACACGATATCCGATCTCCAATTTTATCTCATATGATTGTTACTCACCACAACATAGATCCTTTATTGCTACTATTACTCATGATGTTGAACCTACATGTTATGAGCAAGCTGCTTCCCAATCTCATTGGCAAATATCAATGCAATCCGAGTTAGCTGCTTTAGAGGCTAATAATACTTGGTCTCTCACACCTCTCCCTCCTGGAAAGCAATCTATTGGTTGTCGCTGGGTCTATAAAATCAAGCGAAAATCAGATGGTTCTCTTGAACGCTATAAAGCGCGGTTAGTAGCAAAGGGATACACAATACTTGAAGGGATTGATTACCATGACACTTTTTCACCTACTGCTAAAATGGTTACAATACGTTGTTTATTAGCTTTGGAAGCCGCTCAAAATTGGTCACTTCATCAACTTGATGTCCACAATGCGTTTCTTCACGGAGATCTTTCTGAAGAAATTTATATGTCTCTTCCTCCTGGTTTTCAGTGACAGGGGGAGAACCTTGTGCGTCGCCTCAACAAATCTTTATATGGATTTAAACAAGCCTCTCGCCAATGGTTTGCCAAGTTCTCCACATCCATTCAAGGCGCATGATTTATTCAATCAAAAGCGGATTACTCGTTGTTTACGTGTAAGAAAGGCAAATCATTTACTGCCTTATTGATCTATGTTGATGACATCCTCATAACTGGTAATGATCTCAATGCCATAACTGTTCTTAAACAGTTTCTGCATAATCAATTCCGGATTAAAGATTTAGGTGACTTGAAATATTTTTTGGGCATGGAGATTTCTCGGTCAAGGAAAGGTATATTCATTTCACAAAGGAAATATGCTTTGGAAATTCTAAAAGATGGAGGATGTTTGGGAGCTAAGCCTGTGAATTTTCCGATGGAGCAAAATGTAAAATTGTCGGATGAAGGAGAATTGTTGAAAGATCCATCCTCATATAGGCGACTTGTAGGACGCCTAATTTATTTGACTATTACTCGTCCGGATATCACCTACTCAGTGCATATATTTAGTAGATTCATGCATGCCCCTCGCAAACCTCATATGGAAGTTGCCATGCGAATATTGCGGTACCTAAAGAGCAATCCAGGTCAAGGTTTATTTTTCTCTTCCCAAAATGACTTAACTTTACGTGCCTTCTGTGATTCAGATTGGGGAGGTTGCCCGATATCCAGAAAATCAACTACGGGGTATTGTGTTTTTTTGGGATCCTCACTAATTTCTTGGCGAACAAAAAGACAAAAGACAGTTTCTCTATCATCAGCTGAAGCAGAATATAGAGCTATGACAGGCGCATGTTGTGAGCTGTCTTGGCTACGTTCGTTGTTGAAGGATTTGGAGACATTGCACCCAAAAGCCGCACTGTTGTATTGTGACAACAAAGCAGCTCTTCACATAGCGTCTAATCCTGTATTTCATGAAAGAACTCGACATATAGAGATAGATTGTCATTTTATCCGTGACAGAATTCAAGATGGTTCAGTAGCAACTGAGTATGTTCCTTCGGCAGAACAAGTGGTCGATATATTCACTAAACCACTAGGAAAGGAATCCTTTCTTACAATGAAGCACAAGTTGGGAGTTCTTGATATCCACTCTCCAACTTGAGGGGGAGTGTTAGGAAAGGAAATTATATTCTATGATTCTTGTTATTATGAGAGTTAATTGCATCCATGATTCTTGTTGTAAATATGGTAACATGGCAACTGTGATATCAGTATTATAGGAATAGAATCATCTAATTAGAGAGATGTATATGTATATATAATGCTCTAATGTTTCTGAATAAAATACAACCAAATTATTTCCATCTTCTCCTGTTATTTTACAATTCTTTCTTTCTTTGCAATTTCTCTGCATTTTTTTCATTCATTGTCCCAGATTGATTGTTTCTAGCATGGATCAAGACAACAACAGTTCAGATTCATCTACAAATATTTCAAATGTTTCAATTTCACAAGATCTAACACGAAACCCTCGAAGCCTTTATTATCTTCATCTAGGTAAAAATCAAGAATTGATTCTTGTTGCACCACCATTGAATGACAATAATTACTTCTAGAACAAGGTTTTTTTATCGATAATTTCGTACTTTAACTTTCTCCATCAGATTAAAACTTTGGGCTATGAGATCAATACAACAATATGGTCCAAATGTGGATAATAAAAACCATATCTTCACAAATAAATTTGAGCACTATTTGCATTAAAAAATGCTTCATTATTCTAGTTAGACTTGCAATTTTTCCTCCATTAACATTTCCTCTGAGGTTAGATAATTTAGATAGATGACTTAAGTGTGGGGTTCTCGTCTAAAGTAATTCCACATC